TGTTGATGTTTTTTTTCCATAATGTATTGCTGGTATTTTACTAGGAAAATATTTTATTATACCTTATATATCATTATACCTAGCGTTTTATCTGCAGTTTGGGTCCCATACCTCGTAACCTAACAAGTACTACCACCCTCTTCCAAGCGCTTTATCTAATTTCGTTTAGTGCTGTCGCTACTTTAATGACGATTTTCTAAGAGTAGCTTAGATGTGGCACAAGGCCCGGAATATGAGGGACCCAGTGAGGATCAAACTCTCTTTTCAATTGTAATTATCTCGAGAGACAGGATTGGTAGCCATTGCCCCATTTGCAGGTGTCTCACTTATGAGTTCAATCGTAACTTTCGTATTCAACACAAAAGCTGTGAATACAATATGGGAAACAGTAATAATGAGTGCCAGAGAAAAGCGATAATAACAGCAAAAATTGCGGTATGAGCACTGGTAAAAAAATGTTTGCTGAATACATTAGGTTTATAATACCCAGAAATTCATACATTCATACACAGGTGTTAGTTAGATCCACTAACAGGTCTCAAAGAATGTGAGTTCAATACCCGGTTAAGGCAGTGGAGAAATTAACAGAAGATAACTGATAACTGACATCCATTAAACATGGCAAGTGGAACTAGAACAGTCTACCCCAGGAGAGCGAAATAAAGGGTACAGTTCCACATTCCAACCACCTGAAGAAGGCCAGAGCGTACAATAGCTGAAACGTTGTAATAAATATAGCGACAAAGATGAAGACAATAGTCTGAATAATGTAAATAATGTACGTAATAACTCATCTCAGAAATATAGACAAAAGCTTTTAAGTTCATATGTTTTGGAGCTCTCTCTCTCTCTTTCTCTCTCTCTCTGTCTGTCTCTCTCTGTCTGTCTCTTTCTATTACGTTTATAGTAAATATGGTTGATATTTATTTTCGTATTTGTGACAGTCTGGTTCGATATACATGCATGGATCATATATGTCTGGATATCAATCTGTATTCTATGATTTTATTTGCTTCTCTGCTTATATACATTATCTATGTAAGAGAAACTAAGAGCTTGGCATTTCCCCAACTGTATGACTGATGTAAACCTATCTTGTCAATTTGGGAATGACTTCTGAACGAGTTTGATGAATTCTTTGATTATGTAATTTGGCATCTCATCTGTTTTTTTTTGTTTAAGCTACATCGACTTTGTATTAGGATTTTGAAAAACTTACCTTTTGTATTTTTTTATCATACTCTAATTCTGTACCGTTATAATTAAAACCTATGTCCCTCTCAGAAACCCGTGATTATTCACTGATGATATTTTCTATTCGACTTTCAAATTATCGAGGAAGTATTTTCCATTTTTGGCTTTCCTTGTTGTCTTCCTTATTATACCCTCGTTGGCAATTTGTTCACTTCCTGTTGCACTCTTTCGAGCGCTTTACATATTTTCATCGTAGTGTTGTACTTATTTCTCCAAACGCAATTGACTCAAACCATTTTTCTTTTCTCTCTTGTGTCTATCGTCTTTCGATTGTAAAGCTGCGCGTTTCCTCTTACCTCTCTTCATTCAATAAATTCTCTCTTTTGTCTATCCGTCGAATGTCTTTGTGAACATCTCTACCGATATTTCCCAGTTCATCACTGTTAGTAAGTTTCAAATATTAATTTATTTCTAGTACATTTTTCTTCTTCTAAGATTCCCGTTATTTTTCTTTCATATCCTCCTCTTTCAATGTTTACCATTCCAACGCCTCAAGGTATTTATAACGATCTGGGGTCTGGTAGGTTTTATTTTTTAAAGCGTGTCCTGCTGTCTCCAAATAACATCGACCTTTAAATTCAAATAATAGACACTTTTAAAATACCAAGTTGATAACCATTCCGGAACAGTCATATCCATTTAAACACTTTTCCTTGGCTAACATTTTGCATTTGATTAGTGTTATTATTATTAAATATGAGAGAAGCCCGCCAGCCAGTTGTAACTTGGAAATACATGTATGAAGTACACCTATTTCTACACACTGTCATGTCTATATTTAATTTAATCTGGAATTATATGACGAATCTTAGGCATTAGTTCGTCGGATGATTTTTTTCATCATTTGTAGTAAAATAGAATTTTGAATTTGTCACATTCATTAAAATATGTACCTGTCGAACTTTGTTGTCCGCTTTTGAACCCAACTGTTTTTCTAGTTTCAAATTCTTCGGTGTCGTAACTGGCAATGGCTATCGGCCAAGTATAATGTTTTCTTCACATATAGTTTCAAGATTAGGTGCAATTCCATGTGGTGCAATTGTTAGCGTGCTTCCAAGACAAAATGACTGTTTTATCCTTCAATTTTAAGAAATCGACAATCTTGATACATAATCATGGTCTGTCGCCACAACTATCACCCATGGTCAGATATGCGTCAGCCTCAAGAGAACATGTCTAATTAGACAGGTCCATCAATCTGCAAAGCAAATCTTTGTTAATGAATGCGATATTTACTGTAGCCATA